ATTTTTAAGTCCAAAAGGAAGGCGAGTAAATTCGTACTTTCCATTGTTAACGGAAAAAGCAGTTTTTTCTATGTCTTTTTCCCTAAGTAAAATTTGGTGGAAACCAGATTTAAGATCTATTATTGAGAAAATTTTGTTTTGTCCTAAATTAGCTAGAACTTCATTGATTTCCGGAATAGGATATTTGTCTGCTATTGTAATAGCGTTAAGTTTTCTGTAATCTATAACGAGTCTATGTTTTTTTTTCCCTGATGCGTCTTCTTTTTTTGGAACTATCCATACAGGAGAATTATATGGCGACCGTGAAGGTCTAATTATGCCATCCCGCAATAGTTCCTGTATTTGTTCTTCAATTTCGTCTTTTAAACAAGTTGGATATGGATAGGATTTTGAGTATACGGGATCATTAGTTGTGGTTCTTATTTCTGCTCTTACAGTAGTAGTGTATGTCAGTTTTTCGTTTGGATCTGCAAAAAGGTTTGGGCAATTATTGATAAGATTGCCAAGTTTTATTTTTTGGGTTGTGGGTAAATGAGAATTTCTTATGTTTATATTGTTAACTGAATTTGTGATATATTGTTTCAATGGAATTCTAATTTTTGATTGTATTAAAAGACAACTGTTCTTTGTATCAATAACAGCATCTAATTCCCTAAGACTATCGTTACCTATTATACCGTCAAATGTCATTTTTTTGGGCAAAATAAAGCATTTCAATTTTGGAAGTTGTTCGTTAAAAAGATTTAATAGAGCATGATGAGAAATTATAATGTTTCCTCCTATGGAATTCGCGTAAAATTTGGTTTTGTTTGGAATAGGGTTTTTAATAAGGCAGGACCGAACGTAGTTTTTATTAGACCCGGTATCTATTAAAAATTTCAAAATTTTTCCGTTCTTCGCCCGATGTTCTATGTATGGTAGCGAAGAACCGTCTAATCTAAAAAAGTTTCAAAATTTTGATTGTCATTATTTGAATTTACAGGAGTTTCACTTATTTGTTCTTCCCGCACTAGCGAACAATTACATTCGCATTTTGAATTTAGTTGTGTAGTTTCAGTATTAAATATTCTTTGTATTTTGTTGGGCTGACCATCACTTTGAGACCGTGGCCTCTTATAGTTTTGAACAGCATGGGAATGTTGAGTCCTATTGACTCCTTGAGTGTTATTACTTGTTAAAAGTCCATGTTGTTGATTAGTATAGGGATTTCTTTTGAAAACAGTTTGGGGGTTGTATTGTGTTTTATTCTGATATTGTTTGTTATTGTTATATGATTTTGGATATTGGTAGTTTTGAGTTTGAAAATAACCCTGGTTGTGATTATAACTTTGTTTTCTTGGAGAAAAAGAAGGTGAAATAGGTTGGCGTATTTGATATTGGGGCCTTTTGGGCGCCGTATGATTGTAAATTGGTCTATTAATGTTATTTACCTTAAGGCACAAATGCAATGCCTGAGGAAGGTCTTGGGGTTCCCTCATACTCAATAATCTTGGCAAGTCCCCTCGAAGTCCCCTAATGAAGGTATCTAATGCTTTTCCCCTATACGAATTTGTCATAGCGTCTAAAGCTTCGTCACCTAGCCCCATAGACGAAATTTTATCAAGAATTAGTGATAAATGTTGATAGACTTCCCGATGGAAGTCTTCAACCGAATTTCCTTTTTGTGTCAACATTGACATTTGATACTCTAAAGTACCAACATCGCGTTTGTCTGCGTAATGTAAATTTAGGCAGTCCACTATGTTATCCCAATTAAGTGGGGTATTATAAGATTCCAATGCAATATTAGCTTCACCTACAACTTTGTTTCTTATGACATTAAGGATGCCATAATACTTGGATGTTTTATTTATGTGTTCATAAAATTTTAGTACGCGTTCAACACTTTTTCGCCAAGAGCTGAACTCTCCATTTTTTCCTGAAAATTCCTTAATACTATTAACAATATCAGGTATTTTGTCAGTGTCTACAGTAATTTCGTGACGTCGTTCTGTTGGTTCAGTAAATATAGGTTGCGGTTGGGTATTTATTGTCTCAGCCTGCATTAATTCCCTAACAATATTTTTAAGTTGAGATGTATCGATAGTAATATTTCTAATTGTGGGTTGTGGTTGTTGATGTAAATCTTCACTGCAGTTTCCCTCAGCCATCTGGTTATCTAAAACAGAAGGTTTTAAAAGTGGTGTAGACATTGTAAGCGAGTTGTACTTCCGTAAATAGGGTGATATAAAACTTCCAAAGTAAAATATTTTCAAGTTAAATTGGGCAAAAGTAGACAATCTTTTCGAGGATAAATCATACAAGTCAAAATCGTATGATCTATCAATTTTTGCTTTCTTTATGTTTTAAGAAAATTTTTATTTATTTTTTATTTCAAAAGTAAATTTTTTTCTTCAATGTAACTATATTATAGAGATTTTATAACAAATAATTTCCTTATATTTTTTTTATGGTATCAAAAAATTTGAGGCAATTCAAAATTCAATTAAGGTAGACAATAATTTTTTTGTATTTTTATATTTTATAAATGAAATAAAAATTATTTTTCTTATAATTTTCACTAATTGGGTTTTAAAAAGTTGGGTATCAATCAATAATTAAAAAATCCAAATTTATTTTTTTGTAACAACTTTAAAACGATAATTTTCCTCTGTGTAGGAAATAATTTTTATATGTGCAAAAAAAAAAAATTTTATAGTGAATTCGATTTAAAAATTAAAAAGTTTTTTCTTTAATATATTTTTATAAATTTCTGTAAAAGATGTTTTTTATTTATATTTTCAGAAAGAAAATTTTCAAATATTTTAGTGTTAGTAATATTATTAAAAAAATATTAGTTAGTTAGTGGGTACTATGTTATGAATTTATTTAGTAGATATTCAGTATTTAGCATGCAAAAAAGATATTTTAATAGCATGCATATAAAAAAATTTTTTTTTATTTTTTTTTCTTTTCTTTTCTTTTATTATTTTTTTTTTTATTTTCAGCGCTGATGTTTCATATATTTTTTCTTTTAACTCGAGCTCTTATATTTTGTGTAAAATTTTTTGTAATAGAAAAAATTTCTTTTTTATAAATGTGAATGTATTGTAACCCCGTTCTCCTTTACGGATATACGGATATTTATTTTCGCCTTACAGATGAGGGTACTTTTTTCAGTTACAACACAATTCTTAAATAATATTTTATTTTTTGTAAAATTTTTATTTTTATATTTTTTTTTTTTTTTTATATTTTTTTGGTGTGTACCGTGCCTAAGGCAGCCTCACCTTAGGTTATCGACGAAAAAGGCTTGATCACGGTACCAAAAATAATAATTTCTCTTTTTTTTTTTTTTTTTTTTTTATTATTTTTTTTTTGTTTTTTACTTACAGTACAATGAATATAAAATTCATTATGGGAACGGTCTGTGGTTCTCAATTCCAGCAGAGTAGGCGGCTGTCACTTCTCCTTTTAGAAAGCAATTTTCTGGATGGTGACTCCTTTTTGCTACTGTCCGCTACTAAGGGGCCTCGTTTCCTACTCCTTTTTAGCCAGCTGGAACAAGCTTCCACGTGTGTCGACAGGAAAGTGTTTTGTAGGTCCTCGCTCAAATTTCCTTTGTTTTCTTCCAAATTTTCTGGTTTATATCTTAGAGTTTTTTTTGTTTTTTTTTTTATGTTTGTTATAATTTTATATTTTTTTTTATTTTTATATGAACTGTTTTGAGATTTTATGTTTTTATATTATTTTTTGTAAGAACTGTTTTTTTTTTGTGAAAATTTTATAAATTAAAATTTATAAAAAAAGTTTTATAACCAAAGTTTTTGTTTTTTTTTTTTTCTTTTTTTTTTTTATTATTTTTTTATATTTTTTTTATTTAAGCGAGAACACTACGTACTTCGCTCATTCAACACAACCGACCCTTTTTAGCTCGGGCGCCAGTTAATCTAACTCAGTTAATCGAACCGTTAGTTAGATTTTTAAATAAAAAGATTTAAAATTTTTTCTTAAAAAATTCAGCTTTATTGTTTGACTTTCAGAATAATAATGATTTACAAAATTTCAAATATTTTCTGATTTGAAAAAGAATGAAAACCTCGCTTGCATTATGTTTCCGTTTTGTTTACGCGTGATGCCTTATCAGCAATTATAAAAATTTAAAGAAATTAATTTTGTTACAATGTGGCAAACAAATAATGTGCATTGCGTAATTGTAATTTAAGATTTTTGTTATTTTATGGAAAACGTTTATTTTTAAGCTGATAGTGTTGATTTTGTTTATTTCGAAATATTTATTGTGGATATGTTTACATTTGATTAATTAGAAGAAATGCATTTTGAAGTGGGTACTTGAGAAATGCGTGTTGAAGTTTGTATTGGTTGTTAACTTATACAAAAAAAATAGTGTAAAATGTTAACTAGCATAAATACTTCATTGTATATACTTGGAAAATTGAAATCTTCTGCAATATAACTACAACTATTTAAACACCTTCATCATTGTATATGAGCCATCAGAAACTGTTAATTTGAAAATGGTGATACATTTTTTTACATCGTAACTGTGCTTTTTATTAAGTTAAGTAAAAAATGAGAAAATTAAATGCTCAGAACACGTTGGAACTAAATAGGATTGAAATGTAATTTTATTGTCCTTTTTAAAGGATTATTTTAGTGTTGGGTATTAAATTCAAATTATTGGAATGGGAACACTTTAATTGAAGGTTTAAAATAGTAAAAGTAGTCATTTTAGGGTTAAGGTTAAATGTAGAATAACAGAATGAATAAGTTGCATGGAACGCTCTTTAATTTACAACTTTTAAATTACAAATTTTAAATTAGCATGAAAAACTGCCTTTGAGGACATGGTGAGTGAGCTTCATCTTGCACTTGCAAAGGATTTGCTTTGTGGCTATCCGATCATTGATAGGGTAAGTAAATACTCGGCTCTACGCAGTAGAAAAAAAAAATTATTTTTATAATACAATAAAAAAATATATTAATAATATTTTACTTACCATGTGTAACTAATGTTGCCATATATATTACAAATAATACTTTTCTATTTGTAAAACGATGTGGTAATATATTTAATAGAATTAATAATAATTTAATTGTTGTTAGCAAAAACATTTTTGCTATATTATTAAATACCAATAATATTTATTTTCTTAATTATTAAATTATTATTTTTATAATCACATATAAAAAACGAAAAATTAAATGAAAATATAAGAAATCTAACAATTATGCGGAAGCTAAATACATTAATATAACAGGTTTAATTTAATTATTTATTGTTGTTTTATGAAATATTCTAAAGGTATAATAATATTACATTTTATTGTAATAATATAAAGAAGTATTAAATATTTTTTATTGCCATTTTATTAGGTTTTAAAGAAAATAATATAAATATATTATGATTACTAAGCATTCAACAATTTGATAATTAAAATTATTATACACTTTAAATGTTATATTGATTTATAATGATTATACACGACAATTGGTTATTAATAAGCGATTATTGTTATAAATACTTAATAGTTTTTTTTTAATTTTTAGCTAAAGTTACATATATGCCATTTATAAATCATAACTGTTATACAGATTTAATTTTTTTTAGTTTTTATTTTAATTAAGATGTTAAACTGTTATACCGTACAATATAAACTTTTCACAACTTTCTGGTTAAATTTTTAACTGTTATACATAAAACTGTTATACAGAATTTTAACTGTTATACACGGTATATTTTTCTATTTTAAATTATTTTTACATTTATTAAGTTAATTCACATAAAAAAAATTTTTTTTTACTGGGATATAATCGTTATAAATTATTTTGTTCTCCTGGCAAATTTTAGATATTAAGAATTTTTTTTTGTTAAATTAATAACTTTTCTACAATTTATATTTATTAACTTTTTTTAAATCAGTTTGTATAATGTCTACTTAAGTATTTACATTTAATTTTATTTTTTAATTCATAAAAATTTTGGTTTTCTAAATCATTTATTTTGATTGTTGTTATTTTGTTCCAAATATCCTTCATATTTTCTGTAAAGTGTTTCTTATGTTTGTATATATGTAATAATTTCTTTTATATTTTGTTTATTTTTAATTACACTTATTTTATGTGGACATTATGTAGGTTTTTTAAGCTCTTAATTATTGGTAATTTTCAAATATTTTTTACTTATTTTATTTTTGCAGAGATTATAAAAATTTTTTTTTTAAATTTTTGTTTTTTGTCCTAGGTACTTAAAATTTATTTTATTGCAAATAATAAAGTTTACTTTCTTGTCATAAAAAGTATTTAAAATATTGTGAAGTTCTTTAATTCTTCATTTAATTTAAAAAACAAAAAGAGTATATGAATTTTATTTTTTAAAAGATAGTCTCAGTATTTATAATACTTAATACACTTAAATAATATCATGTTATGGTTATTACATAATAGTTATATTGTAAGGATTTTCTTTACACTATTCGTCACCATTATAACATGAGCATATACATTCAAAAGTGTGATATGATTTTCGAAATAGTTAAAACTATTATTTTGTTTTAATTTTTTTTTTTTGTTTTCAGTATTTTTCAGGATTAATTTTTCCGCACGATTTACCTGAAGCTTAAAATATTTCTCCATTCAAATGGTTTTTATTCTATATACGTTATACATGTTACAAGAAGCTCTTCTTTTTCTATTTCTATGATAATACCCATAATAATGTGTTACAGACGTAAGCTAATCCGATTATTCTGTAAAAAAAAAAAATAAACATATAAGAAAATTTATGAAATATAAAAGAAAAATCGAAATAAATGTATGAAAATTTTTGTAATTTTTTTTTTTTGTGTTCTCTGTAATATTTTAAATAATTTATGTTTCAAAGTTAAGCTATTGTAAATAATTTTTAATGAATGGATTGAGTTAAATTATTAGTAAAGTGGGTAGGTGGGAAATGGTTTTTATTTTTTACCTTTTTTTTGATTATCCTTAAAATGAACAATAACTATAAAAACTTGAAATCCCACAAATTGAAAGTTTTTAAGAGCAATTTTCCTTAAATTTCTAGATTTTCACACAAAACTATACTAGAATCAAATTTTTCAAATGGCTAGTTTTCAGAAATTGCAGGAATATTATTGACAAAAATAGTATTAATAAATTTGCAAGAGTACACCTAATTAAATAGTGTTAAAGCCATAACTTTTTAAAGAAAACATTAAGAGCAGGTAATAATTATATTGTGACCGAATTCTGAAATACAAAAACATTAGCTGAAACTTAACTTTAAATTTTGAGTGAAAATTTAGTTGCCCCTAAAGGCGAATCTTAAATTTAGTAATAAATATAATTTGGTCTTAACCACATGAATATTCCGAATCAAATGGAATTCCTAATGAAAAATTTGGAATTTCATTAGGAAATTCCAAAAATTTCCTAATGAAATCCCGGATTCTTGTAACCTGAAAAGTCTATCTCGATTCTAATATATGGAACTAATCAATTTGAAATAATTATGATGTTCTCTTTTTAAAATAGTGATAATGGCATTAAATACTATTAAAATAATAATTAGATTTTGAATTCCTCTAAATTATGAGGTAATTTTTTTAAAATGTGATCATCATTTGTTCCCAAGACCTTGAGATTTTCTCATTTTCATTATATCATTTGTAAATGCTATGTGTACTCTATATTAACAATATTATAATTTTGCTTTCTATTATTAACAGTTTATGATTATCCTTCCTTTAAATATTATTTTTCTCTTTACTCATATTTTGTGTTACTTTATGATAAATTGTAATTTAATTGCCAGGATAAAGTTTTAAAAAATTTACAAATTATTATTCTTACTGTACAATATAATAAAGGATATAAAATAAATGAATAAAATATGAGAATAGAAATGTTATTTTGAATGACTCTAAGACTAAGAGTCTCCAAGACAAGAAATTATATAATATAACTATATAGAAACCCTACTTAAGAATAAATACGTACTACGTATAATAAAAAGAAATGAAGTATTCAATTTATTCCTGACATTTTCAGTGTGTTGACAAATTAATATTGTTGAAAGAGAAACAAAAAAATTATTCTATTATTTTAATAATACTTCTTTTACAGCTATAGTTGGTTCATCATTTTTAAAAATTATTATGAAAATTCTTAAAAAACAAATAAAAAATACGATAATGATAATAAATCCTTACTGACTTGCACAAAATTAATTTGAAATTAATGTTTCAATTTATTATACACACACACACACACACACACTAAATACTTTAATTCATTTATTTTAAATAAAAATTATTATTAATTATATAATATTTTTATTTTATAGAAAATAACTTTGTATTTTGTAAGTTAATTGTTTTGTTTTTAACTGAGAAATTAAAGGAAATTCATTTGTTAACATTAAGGAAGGCATAAATAAATCCCTAACTGTATAGAACATAATTATTTTATATAGAATATAAATGCTAAGATTTATTTATTATTTCAAGGATATTTTAACACAAAATATTTAATAACGTAAAAGTTTTTGTTATACAATAATAAAAATTTAAATAGTTTTCCAAAAAATTATTTTTAGTGGATGACATTTTAAATTTTAAATGATATTAAATTTTCATAAATATTATTACGTAATTTTAATTCTTCCTATTCCTGTGGAAGCTACAGTAAATAATTATCAATGAAAAATTAAAATATGAAATAAGTGAACTTTTCCTGGTTTAAATTGAATAGCTTTTTTTTTTCCGTACTATATAGGAGTAACAAAAGATAATTACTACTATTTTGCTGTTTATGAAACATAAATGCCTGACGACAGACTACACGGAGCATTAGTCGTTTGGGGAGAATGCAACTAGGATGATATTTCCTTTAAAAACAACGAGCTGTAGTTACCGAAGCAAGAAAGAAACGATGCACAATGAGTTAGAAAAATTAATTTTTCATTATTACTGTAAGTGTTTGTCTCTGGGCTTGGCCAGATTAGTTACGTTGGACATTAAATTTTAAAAAAAGTGAGAATATTTAAAATTTTAAACAAATTTTGCTTAAGCGGCTATTCGGTCAATACTGAAATTTAAAAATATTCCACATCAAATTTTTATAAACAATCTAACAACATTCGTGAAAAATAAGTTTTAATTCATTTTGGAGTTATGGGAAAATATCAAGGTTTCATTTTACTTATATATACAATTTAATTTATTTCTTTCTTAAAACAAATGGTACTTTAAATGTACTCTAATTGAATTTTAGAATATATTTTTCAAAAAAAAAAAAAAAAATAACAAAAATAACTAAAATTTATTTTACAATTTGTTTCTAGTTTTTTTTGTTACTCTTCTATATTTTTCACTTTTTTTCTATGATACATCTGCAACATTTTCTCTTTTATTTTAAAAATTTAAGAACCCAATAAACTTAAACAGCTTAATTCATATTAACCCCACCAATACACTCTTCCACCATGCTAAAATATACCAAAAATAGAAAAAATATGAAAATTCTTCGTCTGATTCTTCATTTTTCCTTTTGTCCTTAAATTACCTAAACTTTTTATTTATTCATATACAGTTGGAAGAAGAAGGAAAATTTAAAAAAAATATAAAAAAAAAACGAATCTGTTTCGTCTTTTTATGTAGCAGTTTTAAAATTTTCCGCCACCACATTTTCTTTTTCTATTTTGAGAATGAAGAGAAATACACTAGAGTTGTTTTGCATTATTAATGTAATGATTTTGTTTATGTGTGAGTGTTGTATAAATACATTGTTTAAATGGTATTATAAAACTGTTATATTGTAAATTTTCAGATAAAAGATTTGCTCAACAAGTTTCTGAATTCAAGAAGAGCCTCTTTTAAAAGAATCTCTATAAAACAAAGTCTCTATTTTTTCAAAAGATTTAAGTGGCGCCCGACTAGGAACGTTGTTCTTATTTTCAATTAAATTATAATTATTGTGGTTTTCTTTATCAGAAAAGTTTGCTCTTCAAAATCAAAGTCATAATTTTTATTTAATTTTAAGTAAGAGTTAAGACCCCCTCATCGGGCGTCAGTTTAAGTTTATATGAAGCAGATATTTTAGAAAATCATCATATTTTTGTATCATCATCTGGTTATACTCCAAATATTCTAATTCTATAATTCGAATAGGTCTATAAACTAAGCTTATTCATTTAAA